GATCCTCAGGTTGGAAGGCACTCAAAATGCGACTGGGGAAGAGCTACCTCCTCAAAGTAGAGTTGACAGTGATGATGTGAATGGAGTAAAACCCATGGGAATAAAGCCTGCGGGACCTTCATTTGCTGATGGGGCACAACTCAAAATGAAGAGAAACAGCTGTAAATATCCACTAATAATTGGAACAAGTAATGTACAAAGTATGAATCTAGGAAAACTAGAAATTGTGGGTTAATAATGGTATTAACTGGTCTTCCCTTTAGGCGCATGGATATTATCCTATCACAGACAGCGTTGTACCTCATGACTAATCTGGATATGTTCTTTTTGACGATGGATTCAATGCCATTCCTCTTTAATTTGTTATTCCCATCATAGTAAACCATGTGGGTTAATGTGCCAGACTGCAAAGCCGTTTGAACTGCAAGGTTGGTGGTGCAAGCTCACCAGCTGCTCCTTTTATACCCAGTGTTGTTGTTGTTGTTAGGTGCCATCAAGTTGGTACTGACCCATAGCGACCTTATGCACAGCAGAATGAAACACTGCCCAATCCTGGGCCAGTCTCACTATTGTTGCCACGCTTGAGTCCATCAATGCTGCCACTTGGCCAATCCATCTCGTTGGGGGTCTTCCTCTTTTTCTCTGACCCTCCAGCTTACCAAACATGATATCTGCTCATAAAAAGTTTTAAAGCCCCAGAAACCCTACACAGGATTGCTGTGAGTCAGAACCAACTCAATGGCATGTTGCAATGAAACAAGGAAGACCAGTTGACAGACTATTATTCAAATTTGCACACCAATAACTAGTGCAAAAAGTGAAGAAATTGAAGATTTTTACCAACTTCTTGTATCTGAATTAGAGCAAACATGCAATCAAGATACATTGATAATTTCTGTTGGTGGGAATGTGCAAGTTGAAAATAAGAATCAGTGGTTGAAAAATATGGCTTTTGTAATAAAAATGACAATGAGATTGCATGATGGAATTTTACAAGGCCAATGAATTATTCTTTGTAAGTACCTTTTTTAAAATAACATAAACTGTGACTTTACACACCAGCTTCACCAGATAGAAAACACAGGACTCAGAGCAATCAAATACATCTCAGGGAAAAGATGATGGAGAAGTTCGGTGTCATCAGTCAGAACAAGACCAGGGACTGGATATGGAATAGAGCATCAATTACTCATATGCAAGGTGAAGTTGAAGTTGAAGGATTGTAAAACACTAATGACTGAAGGAAGACTAGATGAATTGTGGATAACATCAAGAACATCATATATGAAGAAAGCAAAAGGTCATTAAAGAGACAGGAAAAAAGGAAAAGACAGAAAGGGATGTCAGAAGAGACTCTGAAACTTGTTTTTGAATGTAGAGTAGCTAAAGTGAATGGAAGAAATGATAAAGTAAAAGCTGCATAAAAGAGTTCAAAGAGTGGTTGGAGAAGACAAAGTAAAATATAATAAAATGTGTGAAGACCTGGAATTAGGAAACTAAAAGGGAAGAATATGCTTAGTATTTCTTAAGCTGAAAGAACTGAAGAAAAAAATTCAAGTCTTGAGTTACAATATTGGATTTTATGGGCAAAATACTAAACAATGTAAGAAGCATACAAAAGTAGGCAAGGAAAACCAATATACATAAGACAGTCAAGCATTTTAGTATTATTTCACCTCTTAAAACTATGACTAGATCCCTGTATCACAGAGCCCTGTTGTTCCAAGGTTGAGCATGCATCACTATTTACCTCTTTCCCACGTAGGCCATGCACACCTGTCTCAGTGTTCCCCTATCTGTCATGTTCTTCCACCTTCTCTCCCTTCTTGTATTGCCCTCCCCAACACCCGAACTAAACCCCCCACCCAAAACCCCACTGTTGTGGTTACCTTATATTCCATGAACTCTTCCCTCCATTTAAGACAGTCTATTTTATCCTGTAATCTACCTGATCTTCCCACCACCTGGATCTCTGTTCCTCTGTGCTTATCTTCTTTCACGTTGTATTTGTTTTGATCATAGACTG